ACCAAATTTATTACATTACACACGTAATGCAGTCTAGATATGCATTTACGTATTCCACGTAGCTGCACTTATGATCGGATGACATAAATCTAATAATACGCGTATTATTTTTATTTGGTAATTCTGCTTCATGCTTTCTTTTCATATTCCCAACTGAATTTCATTTTTATTTATACAGTAAGGAAAAATTGGATCCATGCAATCTTTACATGCATTCATCTTTCATTCGTTATTCTATAATTATTATAAAATTCGTATTAAGACTAGATTGCCAGATGTTGGGTACATAACTATTTTGCCTGAAATGAGTCAATTTAAGTTAAACATGAAAATTGAGGTTTTTAGTAAAAGAATACAATATCATTTTACATGCATCATTATATACATTTTATTTTATTCAAAAAAATTTTTACATATATTTTCTGTTTTTGAAATACATGTTCCTCAGAATTTTTTATTACATTTAGTACAGACGCCTTTATTTTTATTTCTTTTGCATGAGACTTGAACTTCGAGTCTTCAACAATGAGTCAAATCGACTCGCACCGGAAATATAGTGTTAAAAAATATTCATATAAAATTGATACAATAAATATACATTTCATTACACACGTAATGCAGTGTAGGTATGCATTTACGTATTCCACATAGTAGCACGTATGATCGGCGTGTATGCTAGTAATAAGAGTAGCGTAAGATGTTCGATCACGTAAATGGCCGTGGAAGAACGGCTGGAATGGCGGATCGCGAGAAATCGCGGCGTGAACGAGGTAAACTGCCGCGCCTAGCCGTACATACGCACGTCACGATATACATACGCGTGTAAGTGCGTGGCCCTCCTTCACACTCGGCATACCTGATCATCGCGCGGCAACCACCCCCGGCCCGATCCGCCGCCGCCGTCTTCGACTCCCGGGTCTCTCTCCCACAGTCGGATTTCTGTCCGCGTGACATTTCTCCGCGCTGATACTCGGCCGAGACGTGCCTGAAATTTTCTCCGCCGCGAAAACCGCGTCCGACATTGTCTTAGACTCAAACACAATAAAGCGTGTTTGTAAAAAATTGAAATTGATCATCTTTATATTAAATGTTGTATAAAGCGAATCAATTATTGTATCGAAAAAAGAATTGTGCTGATTTTGCAAAAGATAAACAAAAATAAGAATTTATTCGATAAATCATATAATAAAATCAGAGAAAATTAAGTTGATTTATTTAATGATTATTTATTGTATCGTGCGTTTAACAAAACAGTGATAATAGTCGAAATCAATATTCTCTGTTACACGGGAACTGAGGCCCTCGTATAATACGAACGGGAATAAAATTCCGCAGGTGGCTCGCGAGCAGGCTCGTTTTTCAGTCACACCGTGGAAATCCGCGAGCGAAGTTGGTCGGTTCGCGTCGCGCGGTGACCCGTTCGGCTCTGGTTCTCTCTCTTCCCGGTTATATTCACATCACGGCCGCGACCACCGGTGGAATAGCAAATGCGCGCGGGTGCATAAGGTCCCTGAGAAATGCGTCGAAAGCGCGCGGAATGCATCGACGCTTAGCAACCGCGAACGCGACGACGACGACGACGTTGATCTATCCGTCGTAGCCTAGCCCCTTTCTGCCATGCACGTGCGCCCCGAGAGCTCGATACTTTTCTCTGTCTAGCTTAACCGAGGAAAATCGCTGCGCTACGTAGTTGCACTCTAAGCAACTTCGATTTTCTCAACATCTCTCCTACGGAGTTTCGTATTTGATGTATAACTCGATTTTAGAAGCCCTCTAAGTATTTTGACAGCTGCTCTAAAAACTG